ACTAGGGATGTGCCGCAACCAAGGTACATGCCCTTGACCGGAATCGAACCTGGGACCCTTGAGTCCACAGGCCAATGCTCTATCCACTGAGCCAAACCGGTTAGGGCTGATGTGTCTATCTCTTTATCCCTCTCCTTTCCTCTCCGAAATCAATAAAAATATCTCTAAAAAATAAAACAAAAAAAAAAGGTGAGAGAGATGTTAAAAGAAATATGAAGAGAATTAATTAATATTAGTATTGTTTATTTAAAGCGTGGGTTGTATACCTCAGTACATGAAATGCTAATATATTTTTGTATTTGAATGTACTTTCTATACTCCCACCATTGCAAATAATGTTTTTGTAACCTAAATATAACACAGTAAGATGAAAAAATATTTTATTATAGAAATTTAGAATTTGGAAACTCTAACATGGCAGTCTATCAGAACATATATGACAATATACTGAAGAGATAAATGTGTTTTAGCAGAAGTAATCCTTTTGGTCTGCTTATATTTTATGTGATGCTCAAAAATATATTTTCTAACCTTCTTCATTTTTTCAAAGATAAATCCTCCTTAAATAATGCTTGGTAGCTGGATGTTTACTTATAACTTGCCAAATGAATTACTACTTTTATTTCTTTGAAGTCAAAACACTTTTAAAAGGGAGAGAAACACTATCCTACAAATTGCTTTGGTCTTTGGGAAGTTAGACTGTGAGAGGCTATCAAATGAGTGGCTTGGGCAGGATACCTTTGTTTCTGTACACAGAGAAAAGTTGAAGACTCCAACTGTTCATTAAGACTTCCTCCTCTAATTTTCTCCTGCTATCCTAGGTCTTTCCACATAAATCAATCCCTTCCTGGTTTTCTCTTATGGAGCCAGAATCTCATTGACGGGCTAGATACTGCAGTGTTGGTCAGGTGTCAAGATCTCATTTTGACTCTCTCAAGGTGCATGACTATGGATCATACAGGTCAAGCTTAAAAAATATTACAGTTGCAAGGAATGAACCACATAGCAAGAGATTGTTCTATGAGATGACTTCTACTTGACTGTATATAACATAGAATGTTGCAGTGTAGTATTTAGGACATTATTGAAATAAGTCAAAAATGTAAAATGTTTTGTTTATACTCCAGGATATGTCATTAGGACAATACTTCAATGCCATGTTATGGTATCAATTGTTGCACACTATGCACTTGGCTTTTACTCATTGGATTGTGTGTTTTTGTAGGAAATACAAAGAAAATATTGCTATATTGTTCCTTTAGTTCAACATGTTGACTATTTACCATTCATTTACCAACTCATTTGCTGACTTTACAATTATTTGGAAGTGCTTTTTTAAGAAATATGTTTTTATTAATTTTAGGGAGAGAGGAAGGAAGAGAGAGATAGAAACAGTGATGAGAGAGAAACATCAATTGTCCTGCAGGACTATTATGGGGGATCAAGCCTGCAACATAGGCATGTGCCCCAACCGGGAATTAAACCAGCACCTCTTGGAGCATAGGTCAGCGCTCAACCAACTGAACCATATGGGCTGGGCTGAAGTGCTTTTATATGCATCATGAAATCTACTGGATACTTAGGCACAAATTAATAATATCTCTTATACAAAATTAATTATACTTTCATTTACCATGAGGAAC